ATAGCTCTTCGATTGTCATGTGCTCCTGATACTTTGACAAAAATTTCGAATTTTTCACTTTCAGTGAAAATTTCAGTGAAGAGCTCCTCGATTGTCATGTTCTCCTGATACTTTTTCAAAAATTTCGAATTTTTCAATTGCAGTGAATACCTGCCTAAAGAAAAAATTGGAATTATTAAAAAAAAAAATGAATGATGGCAGGATCGAACCCTGGCCGTCTGCGTGGTAGGCAAGCACGTTACCACATAGACAACGTGTTATTATAAAAATAATTTTTTATTAGGAGTATATATTTTCAAAAAATTTCGTTTTCAAAAATGTTGAATTTTTCAATTTCACTGGATATCTTTTCGATTTTCAAATATTCAGGTTTTAAACGATATTTTCATTAATTAGCCATTAAGAAAAAATAAAAATTAGAATTATTTTGAAAAAAAAAAATGAATGATGCCGGGGATTGAACCCGGGCCGCCGGCGTGCCAGTCGAGCACGTTACCACTAGGACAACGCGCTCCTTTAAAAATTTAAATTCATTAGTGGTATATCTTCAACATATTGAATAATTTTTTCCATTGAAATTCCACAAAATGTGGTTTCCCCCTTCCGTACGTTCTACAGTCGGCTAAATTTCAGTTAAACAAATGAAAAACAAAAAGCATTCGTACAGCAGAAAATAAAATTCACCCCGTCGACTTGATGAACACCCCAGCATTGCGTGTTGCGCCCTCCCTCTCTGGGGGTGCAGTACTACGATGCCGCTGGGGTCACTCAAACCCCCACAACTGAGGCTCTTTGGGTTATTTATTGTCATTAACATGAGCTCTAACTTATCGATAATTAAAAAAAAGCGTCCCCAAACGTTTAAAAGAAAAATCTTCCCCGCCATATTGGATACGTCAGGAGATTTTGAATTTTCAACGTATTTATTGGTTTTTCTCCAAAACAGACGCCGATTGTGATTAATTATACTTATTGACGCCAAATAGTTACTATTGCAGAGAAATCCATAATTTTCAAGACTAGCAGAATAAGTTTGCGATGATTAATGGCAGACGATGTGAGTATTAACCCCGAAGAGAAATCCACGATCATGGATAGGTATTCTTCAAGTTGTTTGCAATATTTTTTATTTTGCGTTCTCCTTTCCCAGGAGAGTACTAGTGAAATAGTTGGAATCTCCGCTGAAACAGCTCGTGATATCCGACAACTCGAGGCCCTCAAAAAAACACACGCCGAACTCAAGAATCTACATAACCTTCTGCGTTTACTGAGAATTGATCTGGAGAAAATGCTTGAGAATTTCGCCAGCATAAATTGTGAGTTTATTCATTGAATGTATCCCTCCTGGGGTTGACGTCACTATTGAGGGGTTTTGAGAGATTTTCAGGGCATTTTTAATTCGTGCTGAACTTTTCCCGCGCTTTTCTCATGTGCTAGCCACTGTAATTTCAGTTTTTCAAGGACATTATTACATTACCTACCTGTTTATGATTGTGAAATTAATTAATGATGGAATTGACTGCCAAAACTTTGCGAATCATGAGTTACAGACGGGGAGGAACTGAAAGAATGACTTGATCTTATTATTTTCCCAGGACAGAGAAATAATAATCACGTTTACTGGGCACGAATATAAAAATGGAGAAAAAAATAGCAATGATCGAGGAGCGAGTGAAGGAGGGTCGAGAGACTCCAGGGGATATCCTCCGTCCAATTCGTCGTCGTTCCAGCATTCTTCCACGTGCAAACTCCGATCCTCTCGAGATAAACGATGACTCAGTGGAACGAGGTCGTACCCGACACGAGACCCCGTCCACATCCTCTTCAAGCAGTCGTCGTTCTCTGAATCTGGGGTCAATAAATCAGTTATCTTCCCCTCAGATAGCCGCAGGTGTTGCTGAGTGCATAAAACTCAACACCGAGAACAAAATAACAAAGAAAAATGCCTTCAGCTTGAAACTCATCGATCTGATGACATACATGGTGAACAGCAAAGATGAGAAGATGTCGAATCTCCAGATGGCGAGTACAACTCTGGACGTGAGTGCAAAAATCTACGGGCTTCGAGTCGATGTTCTCCACCAGGAGACGATGGACATGGTGGGTAATCTGGAGCACGAGAATAATGAGAATCAGGAGGGAAATGTCGAGGAGAATGGCCAACCGTTTCAGGAGAATCCTGTGAAGGCAAAGAAGAAGAAGAAGAAGAGATCACAGGTTTTGACGGACGTCGAGTCTCTCTGCTGTGAACTTGAGATAATCAAACTGGAGCCACCGATGCTGGGTGATGGGGATTTCCAGACGTCAGATATGCTTCTCCAGGTGAATGCCCCGAGGCACGTGGGTATGGGGCTGTCGATTCATCCCTACAACGATTATATCCTGGACTCCAGGAAACCAGAGATTGAAGAGGCAAATGAAAAAATACCGTACAATCCTATAAAAATTCCAGAGGACTCGAATATTGGGAAAATCTTCAACGACTTTGAATTTTCTTTCCACTTGGACTCTGAGTACGATGTTGAGGCTATCATGGAGAATTGGAGCCAGAGAGCGTCAGTGTCCCAGGCGGAGCCTCTGTCCTTCGATCCCAACGCCAGCTTTCCTGAGGAAGACGAGGACGATCATGACGATGTCTTCATCAACGACGAGCTCGAGAAGTTCGATGAAGAGGAGGCAGTCCCTGTAGCACTCCACCATAGGCAGAGGGAGGCCATTGTCAATGCTGATGATATGATTGCAGCTATTGCCACAGTCAGTGATTACTCCTTTTTCGATGAGAACCTGCTGGAGATCAAGTGGAGGTCTGGAACCCAGTGGACAGTCAAGAGGCCCAGGAACATGGCGACGAGCCTCGTGGAGGGGGATAGAAGAGCACCTCTCAGGAAGAAGAAGGATTTCTCAATCGATTTCATGGTGGAACTCGATCCGGGAATTGATGACAAGTTTGTCATGATGAAAAAGGTGAAGAGGAAGTTTAAGAATTTGGATCACCACTTGGTGAGGTCTGAGGAGAACTTTGAGGATCAGTTTGGCCTGTTCAAGTTTGGTCTTCGACCTGATGACGTGGATTTGATGCCTAACAAGAGGGTGGGACCTAGGGGACAAGCCGAGGTAGACAATGAGCGTCGACCATCCGTGAATTCCGATGATTATCACGATAATGATTATGACGGTGGAGATATGGATCATGATAACTCTTTGGAGGATCAACCTGTTGATCTTCCTGTGTCCCAGGGAGGCAACAATCTCGACGAATTCGCCTCCCAGGGTGGATTCACTGGGAGTAATCTCATTGAAGCACCTAAACTCACTGAGAAAATTTATATCCCTTTCTCACAGAGGGCCAAGAAAATCGACATGCGACATCTCAAGAAGTGCATATGGAATAGCATCAGTTCTGGTAATGATGACAAGGAGAATGTCGAACAGGAGGAGGGAAATGGCAATACCAAACAAGGGGGTGAGCCCAAAACATTTGCTGAAATCTATGAACATCTTCCTGATAAACTCAGCAAGAATGACGCCAAGGAATTGAGTTTCCCCATTGCTTTTGTATCGCTACTGCATCTAGCCAATGAGAAAAATCTCAAGCTCCTGTCGACTGATAATCTCTCGGATATCATTGTCCACCAGCATTCTGCTTCGTGAATTTCAGGGCTGGAGGGGAGATTACATAGAGAAATAAAATTTCTAGATTTCCGAATAAATCGTTTGGAAATTTTTCTATTAATTCATCGGCAAAAATCTTGAGAGATGAAGTTTTTTTAAATCTAGAAATTCTTTTTTTACCTGCGATAGCTTACTGATTGTTGTATTAATTTGTATTAACTTTCTTTAATTTTGATAATCTCAATAAATATAATTGATTTATTTTTTTTGGCTTTTTATTGCATGAATTCAATGAAAATTGAAAATGAAAACTCAAATGAAAATGTGAAAATGTAGAGCCCTTTTGGGATGTAGGATATTCGATCTATTATCGGTGATGCAGAAATTGTGGAATAATCTAAAAAATCTACTATATCGAAATGAGAGAAATGAGAAATGAGAGGTTCTCTGTGATTTCTACGGTATCGACTTCCTCAAATTATTTTCGCGGTCGGGAATCGGCACTGTAAAACGATTTAAATCGATTCCCCTTTCATCCTTCCACTCTCAAATAATTCCTCGAATAGAATATCTAAAAGATATTCCAACAAAAAATATCGGACGCACCGCAAAATTCGATTGTTGACTAAATCAATTCGATCGATTTCCATTCCGTTAAGTAAACCGAAAATCGAACGATTTACAACTCGATTTATTGAGGATATCTTCGAACCGAAGAGACCAACCGATTTTCATCTCATAACCTTTTTTGTAGAGTGAAACGAGGGCTATCAAAAAGGTCCCACGAAAAATTGCGCTACATCTCTAGAATCAGAGATATCCTCCGAAAATTAAGTCATTAGCTAAATCGACTGCCCCCCGTCGTAACTCAATTCCGCGGAAGATTGAATTGTTTTTTTTTTTTCTTTCAAATTCCACGGACGAGAGTGGAATTTCTGGCTGAAGTCCAAGGGAATTCACCAGCCCCAGGACAATGTAATTTTTTCACGCGTCACAGGGCATTATAATAATGATAAAAAATGGAGATCGGAGATTTCAGTCGAAAGTATTTTCGCCCCCGATTTTCTTAACGCTACCTCCTGCACCCGCAGTTGATCTTTTGGCATGTTAAACCAAAAGATTTTGAGAGTAGATGGTGATAGCAGACGAATGCCGAATAAATTTCCATGTGGAATATCTGGTTGAATAAATCAATGCCAAATAGGTCCGCACAAGAGCTCACGTTGAGTCCATCCGGGATTTGTGCAGCCATACCTGAGCCCAAGTTACTTTTGCGATGAAAAAAAAAAATGTCATCGACAGGAGGAAACCAATGAGGGCAATCCGATTCCCTCGGAAATCTACCAGAAGCTAGGACTCTTCCTCGAAAATTTAAAATCACTGGTTAAGTCGTAACCAAACGGTTTCATCTCAGGACGAGATCAGGATATATCATTTGATGAGATAAATTTCAGGGTGAGGGCATATTTCTATCCTGCACCAAGAGACAAGACGAGGCTATAATTCTATATTAACGAGACAAGTCGAGAACGGATTCGCTGCCGCTGAAAATTGCCGTGTGGAACCTGAAGGAAAGTGCACAACCATTCGCGATACATTATACTTGCACATAAGTTCCATATATTCTCAGTAATGCATGCATGAAATATATTCTGAAACCCGTGAGATTGACGCGATGTTATACGATATTGGGGTAACATTTCACAGGAAATTCATTAATTATTTCCCATGATTAATAAAAAATTTTTTAAATATTTGGAGTTCCCCAGAATTTTTTAGAAATTCAGCAATTATTTTCGGGGAATTATAAAATGAAAATTCAGTTTCTGGGGGTATATACCTGGTGGTATATAGGAGTATGTATGTACTGAGAATGTTAAGTAAATATTTTTTGAAGGTATTTCTCCGGATTGGTGATTCCCAGGTGCTGCGAATTGAGATTAGAGCATGAGAATTATAAATAGATTATAACGCCGCAATCGATCTTGAAACTGCAATAAGAATGAATTATTCCATTACTAATTACTCGAAATTATTTCACCAAAGAAAACATGTGAGATAACGAAAGGCATAAATAAATAATCCTCTCTGCCACGACCACTTCTAAAAATGATCAATATTTATAAAAAATCAAATAAAATCAATGAAATTTTATTTAAAAAAACCGCGTAAAATAAATTAATCTCAAATGAATTCAACATTAATTATCACCTGGTGTTGGAGCTTGCGGTGGCTTTTCCTGGAGAGGATGCCAGAAGGACCTCCAGCTCCGTCAAGAATATCGATCGTCCAAAATATATATATTTTTTTAATTTTCGTGGTGTCGCGGGCAGGTTTGGGTGTTAAGAGGGGGTGGTGGTGAAAAGTTGTGGCCTGCACCCCCTGAAATTCAGAATTTCGTATCGTTTTCTCAATATTTCAAGTCCCCACTGGCAATCCTACGGTATCCGCGCTATCGCATGTCCTTCCAGGATCCTGCGCCGCATTGCAGGGGGGAGGGTTGATGAGGTGGTTGGGTGGTTGGGTGGTTAGGGGGTGGTAGAAGATGCTCGGTGGGAGAGTAATGGGGGTTAGGTAGTGGGTGATGCTCCTGGCGGCGGCGCGTCGACAGTACGGGGATGGTTGGTTATTTCTCGTACGAGAGGGGTAGGCAATGGCGTCCCTTTTGAAATACCCTCCCCTATGCACCCCCCTCACTCGTGTCGTACTCATTTTCAACCCTCGCACTGGAGAAATTCCACAGGAAAACACGAGCAGACAGCCAGTCGCTTGCCGTACGTTAGCCGACGGTGGCCAGAGCAACAAGATCGGTGTGTTTACTGTGGACATGACAAATCAAATAGTATTTCAATGATAAATTCGTTCATTCCATTCACTATTGATCGCCAACACCGAGTGTCGATGTATCCACTCGAGTAGAAACTATGCCAGTGCTCATGGGGTTGGGAATAAAATAAATGTGTCAACCGGAGGTGGTAATCAGGGATTAATCCCCCGGTGTCTACCACCTGAATGTGTCCTGGTATCATCACCATAACTCGACAATCGATACGTAATGAGCATCAGCAATGACACTGGGGGTGGAGATTATTCGAGCTCTCAATTTTTTTCAACGGATTGCTATTCACGATTTTTGAAAGATTTTTTTTTTTCAGCTACATGTCAGACTGATGTCAACCATGAATGGACAATCGTGACAACATGAATGGAAATGTTGATAGTCAATCGTAAAAAATAATCCGGAAAGTTGAAAAAATAGTGTTGAGATGATGGAATGAAACGAGACGGGGTAGAAGTGCCAGTGGATGTCTGAATTTTTTTCCACTGAATTGTTTAATATTTTAATTTATAATCCGATAATTGAACACGGATAATTGACTATTGATAGCACATCTGCCACAGGTTATGGAAACAAGTGCAGCAGTGGTGGATGATGAGCATCGGGCGAGTTATCGCGAGCAGCAGGTGTTGAAAAAAAAAAAAAAATTCTATCAACTTATTTGGGTTGAGACTAATTCGGTCTGTTTCCTTGGGAACTGGCAAGTGTGTTGGCAAGAAGTTGGTGATAATGCAGGTGCCAGTGGATTTATGAGATCCTTTTGATTGATGCTGCTTGTTCGGTGAGATAGGAGAGATAATAGGAGCAAATAAGGGGATGCTGAGAGGGAAATTCAAGTGAATTTCGTGCTGGGGGAATTGAACTGAGGCCTAAGAGACACTTGTGAGGTGCGACAGTTTGTGAGGATCCAGCCACTTCACACTCGTATCCCATTATTCTTCGAGGGTACACCCGGTGTGTCACTCATTTTTCTGTTATTTATTGACGTATGTTATTCATTATTAAGGGATTTATCTGACAGTTGAGGTACTTGAAACGGAAAATGGATCGATTCGGGAAGGGGCGGGTCGCCACCGCTAATGGAACATTGATCGAACCGAGGATTGTTGGAACTTACCTTAAGAAAACTGGACAACTATGATAGCTGAGTGTTGGAATTTTATCGGGGCACACGGTGAGTCCCATCCAGGGAGACCCCATTCCTCGGTTCAGGGAACACCGGGACTCCCACCTTCAATCGATCTCATCAATTGATCAACGTGATTTTCCAACATTCCAATGAATCCTCAATCGTCTCCCTTACGTCCCCTAATATTCCTTTTTAATAATTAATTCCCCTAGAAAATTTAAAAAACTTCACCGAAATATCGAGAATTTTGTTGCTTTATTTATTACTGCAGGCCCTTCTGTTAATTTATCAGTCGTGGATTGACTTTTTGAAAGTATTGGAGAAGTTTTTTTAATTAATCAACTTGGGTCAGGGAGGACTTGGGATTATTTAACAAAAATTTCATCATCGGAAAATAAAAATCCAGATGTTTAATGGAAATTGTTGGATGCAATTTAAATAAAGTCTCAAGCTCTTGCTAATTGATTGACCGTGGATTAAATTTCTTGAGGTATTGGAAAAGTTTTTTTAATTAATCACAACCAACGAATCAAGGGATTCCCATTATTTTGTGGCATTAAATATTGACATGATGTCTTGACTTATTTTATTTATTTATTCATATTTTATTTAATATTGTTATTGAATAGAATTTCGAGCGGTCACTGGATTTAATTGGCTAGGGGAAATCTCGTTGATACATTTGCAGATTAAACTGGAGATTTACATTATGCATGTGGGCCACATGCTGGGTAATCCCCCGGTCTTTCAGTTCGGTTATTATTGAAAAGATTTCTCAGTCAAATTCAGGAGCTGCTGGCATTAAATTGACGACGAGCAGCAACTGAAAAGCGACAGGGTGAGTTTTTCACCGGATTATTGCAGAAGGGGGATAATCTGCCAATAATCTGTTCGTCTACTGGAGCCAGAATGTAATGGGGATATTAGGTATTCGTTTTGTTGTCGATAAATTTAATTTGACGTGTCAATTCAAACCCATTACCCCACTGAGTCTAAATCAATTCCACCCTGACACGTGTTGGACAGAAAAAAAAATTGCGCAACAATTCAGATAATCCCCAATCGTTTACCGAATTTTTTCTTTTTTTTTTTCGGTCGTGAAATTTCTGGAATTTTTGGAATGGCAATGGGATTGGGAATTTCTGGGAAAATTGCATGGAAATCCATGAAAAATTCACGCACCGCTGCTCGAGTATTTATCTCTAGTGCGGTACTGATATTTTCCTTCTGGAAAAATATTCTCCGTGTGGAATTAATGGGTTTTTACCGCTGGTAAATATTTTTTTTAAATATTTT